GTTTCTTTCTGTTGGCAGCTTGTTGTTGTCTGGTAAGCTGAATCACATGAACATGATACCGGTGTGTTGACATGCATCTTTGTCATACGTTAAACCAGAATCAATTTTGATAACCTGATTATGCTTACAGTTTAATTTCCACATGCAGGCATGCAGTAAGCACCAATGTGTGTTGCAAATTGAGTAAAATTTTTATATTACAGTATATTATAAATTCCTTACTTCTAAGTTGGTTAGAATAACAATGTCTACCTGAATATAGTAAATTACATGTTTATTTTAACAAATAAGATAATGTTGAAAATTCTCATTTTATTTCAATGTAAGGAGTTATTAAAGGTTTGTGAAATTTAAACATTCTTCAACATCTTATGGAAACAGCTGACTTTTTTGAAACTTAGTCATACAATCATGTTTTTTTAGGTTTATTTTGTTGTCTGAAATGGACTCTTGTTTGCATTTGTGGGTTAATGGCTAATGGTTTGGGTCAAATTAGGGGATTTATTAGGGAAAATCAAGTTACTCTGAAATGTTTTAAATCAACTGGTTCCGCAGAGTGGTGAAAAAAAATCCTGTTTTCCTAAATGTCTCACTTTTTCTAAATACACAATGTGACAATAAAGACAAATTGGGTAATTAAGGAAATTAAGAACTTTGTATAAAATTAAGCTTTCTTTAAACGAATTTGTTCAAATTGTTTTATTTTAACAGTTTTAGATGTCAAATTAGGTTTTAGTCACATTCACAATTAAAGTAAAATAAGTTCTTGGTAATTTACTGTATTTTCAGACTGTTGAACAAAATAAATCACACCGTCTTGCTCTGATCCTTTTTTTTTCTTGTGCCATGGCTGATGAAAAGGGTTAAGCCCCAACTGCTGCTGGCTAAATCCAGTCTTAGCGCAGTGACAGATGCCATCCTAATGGATGCCTGTGCTTCCTGGATTGACAGTATGGCATAAATATCAACAGGGAGTGAGAAATCAAACCCCTGCTGAGAAAAATGTCAGCCATTTTAAACTCATCAAAAAGAACTTGAGAGGAGAGAAGATGCCTCTGAAGAGGAAATCAGACATGTCTTCCAGTTTGATTCATTGGTGGACGTGATGGAGGTTTGTCATCATCCACTCATCTGTAAGGATTTACCGCAGCAAAATGCTTCTTTCTTCAAGTTTCATGGATCATTTAAAAATAAATTCAATTTTTTATCATCCCTTTGATCAAAATGACTGTATTCAGGGAATTTGCCATAAAAGCTGTCAAATCATATGATATGCTTGCAGTAAATGGTTCATTACTGCACTGCATGCATCAGGCATCACCAACCATTGTGGCTTTACTATATAAAATATCCATTGAGTTATGAATCCTAATGAACATGCTGGTTATTCCTGTGACCACATGGAGAGGTGACCCTGCCATTTTCCTCCCAATTACTGGAGGAGATCCTTCACAGACGCACAACGGGAGGTAGGGAAGCTTTATTGTGGATGAAAGTATCAGTGAGGGTCCATGGCATTCAGAGTCCCACGGCTTTACAGCTCGGGTGACGGGTGCAGAAGAATTGCTCAAATTCTCAGCCAGAATGGAAAACATTGGGCATCCAACCAGTTTGGCATAACAAAGCTACATGTCACAGACAGAATGGGAATATGTTCGTTCTTATTCAAGGCATTCACTCGTAAATCTCAATGACCTGAATGCTAAGAGCCAGAAGTCCAGAGAATATTCGCTCTGTCACGGGTCTAGAAGCACTGTGACGAGGACTCACAAACCAGCAACCATATTAAACCAATTTCAACCTCTGACGAAAACATGTCATCGACAAACAAACTATGCAACATGCAAACTCAAGCAAGCAGTTGAACTTTTAGCACGACATATAAAAACAAACATCAACTTTGTTTCAACTCTTTTCTGCTGAGAAACTTTTCAAAGTCTGGATGAGCATCTAGTTCACTCAAGCACTATCTGGCTGATGCATTCCTTTAATGCCCCGTGGTTTCCCAACTATTTGCCATTCAGTTTCATGGCAAAGATATTCACAAGTTACATTTTTGGTGAAATTATCAAGTCAAATTTTGCACTTCAATAAAATAGTGTCAGGAATCAAGTCAGGAATTTTCATTTAAAGGTCAGTTTAGATGAATTTAAGTTCAAAATTGTTTTTGTCAAAAGTGCAATAAATTCATTAGCTAATTACATGAAAAGTTCAAAAATACCACTCCATAAAAAAATTGCATTTTGCCTGATGTAACTAACGCCAAATTTTTAAACAAGCATCTCACATGCACTTCAAGTGCTCAAAGTACATGTAGGGGATGACCATCTGCTACTACCACACCACATTTTAACTCAATTTTAGATGATGCAACAAAATCGCAGCAATAATAATGCTAACATTTTACAAAAAAATACAGAAACATTGGAAACACATTTGATTCAAATAAACATTTAATACCAAATTCTTAAAATGCAAACTGCTTTCTATAATGACAAAACAACTTTTTCAAAAGTAAATGAGTTTAAAATCTTTATATGGTGTAAACTTGGAAAAAAGTGAGAAATTTCACAACTCATTCATGCCAATTGTGTTTTTTGTCCAATAAAAACTACAACAGTGGAGACATTTTTCACAGTTTCTACATCTGGTGAGCCTTGTTGGGATTCTGTCATCATTAAGCTTTGATTGTGGGCTGAAAAGGTTAATGACTAAAATAATGTAAACTGTGGGGTCCCAAGCTGTGATCAGAATGTTTTGCCTTTTGAAGTGTCTTCAGTGTCAGGTCTTTTTTTTTTTCAAATGAAAAGAAAAATATCCAGAAAAAAAATCATATTTTTTGTTATGTCATAATTGTATGACATTATCACTATATACATGTACCTGCACTTTTCCAATCCCAATTTCAATTAAGTTTGGACGCTGTGTAAAACAAAAACTGAATAGGATGATTCGAAAATTCTTTGCAACCTAAATTCAATTTAATACACTACAAAGACAAGATATTTAATGTGCAAATAAATACAATTTATTACATTTTTAAAATATTCATTCATTTTGAATTGCCTGCAACATAAAAAGCTGGGAACAACAGCAACAGCAACAAGAGACTGGGAAAGTTGAGGAATACTCAAAAAACACCTGTTTGGAGCATTCCACAGGTGAACAGGTTAATGGGAAACAAGTGAGTGTCATGACTGGGTATAATTGGAGCATCTCTGAAAGGCTCAGTCATTCACAAGCATGAATGGGGGTGAGGTTCATCACTTTGTTAACAACTACGGGATCAAATATTCCAAAGAACAACATTTCTCTATGTACAATTGAGATGAATTTAGGAATTTCATCTTCTACGGTCTGTAATATCATCAAAAGATTCAGAGAATCTGGACAAATTTCTGTAAGTAAGCAGCAAGGCCAAAAACCAACAATGACCTTTGTTCCTCAACATTAAAAACCAACATCATTCTGTAACGTATATTTCCACATAGGCTCAGGAACACCCTCTCCCTGGGCTGCCACCTTATTGTGATGGAGAGGTTTGAGTGTCCCAATGATCCTAGGAGTTATGTTGCTGGGGGCTTCATGCCCCCGGTAGGGTCACCCAAGGCAAAGATGAGGGATCAAACAAAGGGCAGGCCAAAGACCTCAATGTTGAGTACCATAAATGGATTCAATGGTCCCTCGCCCGGACGCAGGTCACCGGGGCCCCACTCTGGAGCCAGGACTGGAGGTGGGGCATGTTGGCGAGCGCCTGATAGCCAGGTTTTTGTCCATGGAGCCCGGTCGGGCACAACCCAAAGAGGAGATGTGGGTCTCACTTCCCATGGGCTCACCACCTGTGGGAAGGGCCAAAGAGGTCGGGTGCAATGTGTGCTGAGCAGTGGTCGAAGGCAAGGACCTTGGCGGTCTGATCCTCGGCTACAGAAGCTGGCTCTAGGGACGTAGAATGTCACCTCTCTGATGGGGAAGGAGCCTGAGCTGGTGTGTGAGGTTGAGAGGTCCAACTAGATATAGTCTGACTCACCTCAATGCACCGCTCTGGAACCAGTGTCCTCGAGAGGGGTTGGACAATCTTCCACTCTGGAGTTGCCCATGCTGAGAGGCGCCGAGCAGGAGTGGGCATACTTATTGCCCCCCATCTTGGTGCCTGTATGTTGGGGTTCATCCCAGTAAATGATGGTGTAGCCTCCCTTTGCCCACGGGTGGGGGTACGGGTCCTGACTGTTGTTTGTGCCTATGCGCCTAACAGTAGTTCGGATTACCCACCTTTTTTGGAGTCCTCGGAGGGAGTGCTGGAAAGCGCTCCTAACAAGGACTCCCTTGTTCTGCTGGGGGACTTCAATGCTCACGTAGGTAATGACAGAGAGACCTGGAGGAACATGATCAGGAGGAACAGCCCGATCCCCAATCTGAACCCGAGCGGTGTTTTGTTATTGGACTTCTGTGCTCATCATGGATTGTCCAWAACAAACACCATGTTCAAGCATAAGTGTGTCCACATGTGCTCTTGGCACCAAGACACCCTAGACCACAGTTCGATGATTGACTTTGTTGTTGTTTCATCTGATCTGCGGCCACATGTCTTGGACACTCAGGTGAGGAGGGGGGCGGAGCTTTCAATTGACCACTACCTGGTTGGCTTTGTTGGTGGTGGAGGATGCTGGTCAGACTTGGCAGACCCAAACATATTGTAGCGTGTTCAGAGTTAGATTGTTACTGTATCATTTCTAGAGTTGTACATTTTCATATAACAGCTTGGGAATGAGATGTTCACGCGAGTTTTACGTGAGAGAGGAGGAGCTAGGTGGAGATAAAAAAAGAGAGAGAGTGTCTTTCTTTGCTGAGGTGTGTGTGTGGGGTTTTTTGGCTCTCTGTACGGCGTGGCTGCGGCCTACAGCAGCTCCTAAATAAAAGTGGTTCTTGAGTTTATCAAAGGCTCATCTTGARATACATTTTCACGCACAACTAGAAGCGTTACAGTGGTGTCAGAAGTGAACTTATTGAACCTGGACGCCTGTTCTGATGCAGCCCTACCTGAAGCACATGGACTCCATGGAATCTTCGGTGCGCATRAAGATTGAAGACGGGGGGACGGAGGCTGTGCAGTGGTCGGGGGTCCAGAGTAGCGGCGCCACGGTGAAAACGGAACTAGGTACCGCAGAGTTGGTCCGGACTGCGGTGGAGGGTCTGTCTGTCGCCCCTTCGGAGGCCTCGCGTCGATACACCATGGAGGTAAACAAAGATGGCGCCGCCCAGGGACAGAGCAGACCATGCGGAATAAAAACACCCAAATATGACGGTAAATCGGACTGGGATGCGTTCAGGGCTCAGTTCGAAATACTGGCGGCTGCCAACGTCTGGTCGAGGGATCAAAGAGCTCTGCAATTCGCCATGTGCCTGACGGGGGA